TGTGTGTGTGTGTGTGTGTGTGTGTGTGTGTGTGTGTGTGTGTGTGTGTGTGTCCTATAAGTGTTATCAGAGACACACATCAGCGTTCCTGTCTGTCTGCTTGCGGTCTCATCTTTGTCTCACCCGCGAGCTCAGCGTCTCGGATGCCTCTTGATTTACGGTGACGAGGCCCCGCGGCTCCAGGATCGGGTGGCGCTGCTGCCCGGTGTGCCAGCCGAGGGCTCCAAGAGTCGTCCTCAGCTCGGCTGTTTACTTTATGCCCTCTAATAACTGGAGTTTATTACTTTATCAACTCGGGGTCGAGTTTCTGGACAGTCTCTCTTGACTCGAGTTACTCAACAGATAATGTCAATATTGCCCAGAAGATTTCACAAGTTTTAAAATGCAAAACTGTAAAAAAAAAAAAAAAAAGAGATTAAGGAATAAACTTGATCTTTTTTGCGTCAAGAGGAATTAGTTTCCTTGTTGGTAAGGAGATGTGTTGACAACTTAACAGAGGAGTGAAGGTCCGAACATGTCGGCAGAGTGCAGTGTGAAGAGAACGTGTGAGCTCCACACATACTGTACATATGTGACTACCACAAAAATAAACAAGAGAGAATTCCTGAACTTCTTTGAGTTGTCTTATAAATCCGGGTTGTTTGACGACGGTGAACTTAATTTGAAATCCAAAGATAACCTGCGGGTGTTTAAAGTGACGGGAGGGGCAGGATTCTTTGCCCCTAAAAATCTGTTATGTCATTTTATATCGTCTCCTTTTAAGTTCCCATGTGCAAAAATTTGAGTTAAATTTAAAAAGCAAAAGCTTGAAAAGAAGAACTTTGATATCAAAAAGCACAAAAATGCATTTTCCACACCGAGGGACGCCAGGTAACAACACAGAGGAGACATTTTTTCCTTTTCTGAGACTTTCAGGCTGAACACTTTGATGGGTCCCATTGTAACGCGGCTCGGTGAGTTCAAACTGTTGGAAGATTAACTTTGACTCGATCACCTTAAATTCAAAGTAGCAATGAAGAATACAATATCCTGCATGTTTCTCTGTATTACCTGTTCCCTTATCTCTCATTACATGCGAAATATATGGATAAGTACTACTACAAACTATGTTTGATGACTTTTTGTGCACTCAGGGCACTGATTAGCTAACCTCACCCACCGTATGTAGCAGTAACTGTATTTGCACACAGATTGCAGCGCACACAATCCCGTAGTTGTTTACATACAGCTGATAGACCAGACTAAATAAAGATGAACGACATGGCTGCTCCCCAAAAGTGAAGCAAAACTCATCTTGACTGCCCCCTGGTGGTTGGCTGTAGTTCATAAGCCCTGTCTCACCCATGTTAGCAGATGGGGCATGGGAGGAGGTGGAAATTAGGATTCGGTTGAGGTCTAAATTCTTGATCTAACCTTTATCCTAAGGGCTAATGCTAACAGCTCTGCACCGTCCTACTTTCTTATTCTTGCTCTTTCTTTCTTCAGCTGTGTTGCGTCATCATACTCATGTGTAAGAATTTGGTTCAAATCCCTCTCATAACCCTGTCACTCTGAAATACGGTGAATAACTGAAGATAATGACGCTCTGCCTTCTGTTTTACTATGACTGCGACATGTGACATTTTGGCGACACATGCGACAGCAGCAAACGAGGGGAGTGAAGTTTATTGTTAAAAAAAAAAAAGTAAGATTCTGCTTATTTCGACTGATAAAAATCTTGTTCCTAAAACCTTTAAGCGATAAACTGTAAACACTTTGAATTGGATTTTCCCTGTCGACGCCCCGCGCTGCCTGAATGAGTGTGTGTGGTGTCGTGGCTGGAGACGAACCACCAGGCAGATAATGCAGAGGTGCGTTATCAGTCTCTTTGGTATGGCTGTCTGAGTGTGTGTGAGTGTGTGTGAGTGTGTGTCCTGCTTTATCAGCACACTGAGATGTAAGAGGGACTGACCTTATCACGGTGTCGCTGCCTCCTCCCGCATCCCATCCTCCCCTTCCAACTCCTGAGATCATCAATAGAAACACACCCACCCAAACAAAGCAGATGAGAGGAGCGGGTCAATACATCCGTCACTGATGCTCTTTGAGAGGACAGGATTCCTGCCGGTGTGCGGTGACGTGTCCAGACAGCTGATATTGATAAAACACTTGATGTCAATATGGCAGCAGGAGTGGGATGGTCCCATCATTGACCTGTGGTCACTTCCAGAGAAGAGCCGCAGTGACGGAGGGGTTTGTTTGCTGTTACACTCCTGTGGTCCTGCACAGGTCAGACTGTAAATGTGAGTGTGAACGGACAGTTTGTTGTCGTAGTGACTGTACATACAAGGAACATTCCTCAAATTGTCCATTGCTGCAGCTCCTCTTTTCAGCCTCTGTCGCAAACACACTTTTTGCTCCTGTGTCTTTATGTAGGGGGCGTGTCAGATTAGTCACTGCGCGTGCGTTTTCCAAACGTTGTGTATCGTCAGGTATCGGTCGGATTAATGACGAGGCGTGTCACTTGGCAAAACTTTTAGATTCATAAAAAAACTACACAACACACCAGAGGAGAGAAACTCATCATGTGTTTAATATCTCTGGTTATGATTTATTGCATATTTGCTTTAAATCAAATCACTGGAGTTGTAGTTGGTTGTAGTGAAGTCAATACAGTTTGATAGAAGATTTATCAGCTCATTACATTACATTAATTTTACGTACAGAAGTAATGGCGATAAGTCGGAGCACATGTTGTTAGCGCTGCTGTTTCCCCTTTTTTAAATGTCCTCTCTCTTTAAAGAAAGCGATCACATCAGCTCTTATTACTCTGCTGGGAATTGTTGTCTGCGAGTTTCCCGCTCGTGTCTTTGATATGAATCTTTTCCACCATTATTGGAGGATTTTTGAGGTCTAGCTTTCCCCGAGCTGGATGGAGGCGTTTGATTTAAGACTGTTATTTTCACCCAACACTTCTCCACCAGAGAGAGAGGAGAAGGCTTTAATTTACGTCCTTTTTGCGACTGTGCGGTCACAGGCCTCATCTGTTTTAAAGCACGGAGGGGAAGTCATTCTGTAACCCCGACACACGTGTGACTCATTAGCTAACATGGCTATTAGCCACAGTTAATTCTTTTCTCTCCGAGGCCCTGCGGAGAGAGAGACGCATAAATATCTCCAGTGGAAAAACCAAAAGCGAGGACACGTGACTCGTAGCTGCTTCCTGACCACCAGCTGACCAGCTCAGCACTTTTTGGTCGTGACAGAGTCCTTGACATACCTCACGTCTGCCCGCGGAGAAGAGGGGACGCTCCCGGGTGTCACTTGGTCTTGATCAGCGTGAAATTTACGGTGGCCTGACCCGGGGGAGGCCATCATGGGGTTTCAGGAATTATCCCAGGTCACCTCCTCCTGGGAGGGACGGCTGGAGGTCAGGGTGAGGGATGCAGATTTATATAGCCGGAGCTACACGCTGCACATGCTCTTTCTCCATTTAGCTAATGGGTCTGCTGTCATAATACCCATCCTTTCAGGGAGGAAGAGTTACGGCCTCATTGTCTCCCTGCTGAAGTTGTCTCCCTCTTCAAAAGCTTTGAGAGAGAGCCGCAGGTTTGGTGCTGGAGTGTTTGAGTGGCCTGATCGCTCGTGGCTTCAATGTCACATCGTGTGGTTTGACTCCTGCAAGAGCTGCTGTGTCCTTGACCGAGACATTGAAGACACCAGGCATTTGGTTAAGATAACTTATCGCTTATGTTTTCAATTTTTGTTCCTATTCAAACCAAGAAACAAACAATGATTTCATTAGCATTCGACGACTACAGCTCCCAGAAGGCTCTCACAGCATGCCAGTAGCTAAAGGGCAACACATGCTAGCCCTGTCACGTAGCGTCATGTCATTCAATGCCTGCAGCGCGCCCCGGATGTTCCGCACAGACAATGCAGTCGAGGTGCATGTGCCAAATGTGAGGAAACTGGTTGTTTTCTAGATCATCAACTTGTGTCGGGAGGAGAGACACTGTCACATGTCGGCCCATGACTACAAAGAAATAAACACACCCTGGTGTTTTAATCTTGAACTGTGGGGGTGAGTTGCCCTTGAGACTGAAGAAACTGTCATTAATCCAAAACGGGAAAAAACTAATGATTTCATCTTTCAATTCCTGCAAAAATATTCACAAAAGTAAATTACTGTGTAAATTTAAAGATGAATAATCAGCCTTGTGGTGAAGTTAGTGTGAGCTTTAGCTTTTACTACACTTCACTTTAGTTNCTTTTTTGAAGCCACAGCTGACATCTGCAGTTCACTGGTTGAGGGTTTGTCAACATTTTTCAAGAAATATATATTCCATCACAATTATTTCAAATATGGGAGCATGAAGGATTGTTATTGGCTTCAAATTTTTTTAGTATGATACAGTGAACTTTAGTCTTATGACAATACCTGACACATAGTGGGTTTTAATTCATTACAAAAACAGTAAAGTGTAATGTCCTGTGGTATAAATTAAGCTCATTCATGTGGTACTTTGTATATCACGTTAACGGCTGTACATGATATTCTGGTGGTGATAATAATGCAGTTGTCCTTTTTGTCGTCCCCACAGCCCAGTCCGTCTACTTCGAGCCTCAGCTCCAACCATTCTGCCTCGCCCAACGTCACCAGCTCAGCCCCGTCCAGTGCCAGAGGTGAGACCGGCGCTTTGCACCACTGACTCATTTTGCAATGTGATACACGGTAAACAGCTTTTAACTGATATCTCAATCCAGAGCAGCTGGCAAACAGAGGAAGCACACAGAGGTTTCTCTGGCGAGGGCGGCGAGGTTAGATGACAGCTGGGGGGATCCGTGCAGCGGAGGGAGATGAGGACAGGGAGAGAGAAAAGAGAGAGAGACAAGAATGAGAAGACAGGCTTGAATGGAAAGTTAGAGGCTGAGAAATAGAGGAAATACGAAATGAGCCAAGATGAAAAACTGAATTGGGATGAGATGTGTGACAAATGGCTTCGAGAGAAACATGCACCTAGTGAACAATCAAGAGCGAGTGAGAGACAATAGCAGCGGTGTGGAGTGTCCCTCTTTGACCTCAGTACGATCGCCAGGCCAACGTTGACCCCGGGCGTCCATGTCCACTTCACAGTGGAGTGTGAACCTCTGTGTTTCTGCCTGATCCACATTGTAAAGATTAAGAATTTATGATGACGTTTACGCAAGTGAATACACTCCCCTTTGGCGAGCTGCTAACAGTCAGCTTCACCCTTTTAAAAAGCTGCCTCTGTCCAACTATAAAGTCTTGAGAGAGTTATTACTAGTGTGGTCTTATCTGAATGAGAGCCGGTGATGGGTATCGCACACTCACGAGATAGCCTTCCAACCGCTATCGTCTTCGTTAATGGTTTGAGATCCACACGGTAGCTAACACCAGATGAGGGGAACTGCTGCAGAAAATGGTACGAGCGAGTCTTCGCCTGTTTGTGTATGTGTGATTCCTGATTTGAGGGTTTGCACCTGTCTCCTTCAACTGTGGTTGTCCAGTGTTACAGACGAGGTGAGGGACTGTGTGTGTGTGTGTGTGCGCGCGTGTGTGTGTGTGTGTGGGTGTGTGCGCACGCTCGGGTGTGTGTGTGAGTGTGTGGCAGGCAGGCCATTTATCATGTTGTGGAGCTAGTGAGGCTGAAAGAATGGTGTGGAGTCTTAGAGAGAGGAGAGATTGGCCTCTCCTGATTTGTGGCCAGCATTTCTGGGTAACAGTCGAACACCTTGCTGTTATTTGGTCCCTTATGTGTTTGCACGCTTTCTTAAGTGTGTGTGTGTTTGTGTTTGTGTGTACATGTTCTAACACTGTGTTATCTCATACTGTGTGTGTATTACAGGTTCTCCCCAAATGGCAGAAAAACACAAGCATTCCAGAGAAAACGCCTGTTTGTCTCCGAGAGAGAGACCAGTCAGTGCCATATTTCCCAACCCCCTGGACCCTGCACAGGTAAAACACACACACACAATTTGAGTCAAGTTATAATAAAGACGATATTGATCCATCTTTCTATTTATTTATCTTAAGGATCAGAATCAGTTTTGATGACCTCGCTAATTAGATTTCAAACGACTGATAAATCAGCTCCGTGTACAGCTGTCTATGTCTATGATATGGATTCAGATGTTTTTGATGGATGGTGCGTGGATCAAGTGAAGTGCAGTGGTTTTTGCTTGTAATTTATTCCTTTAGCATATTAGCATACCAGAGGAATCACAAAAGATTGACATTAGAGCGATTTCAGGCGCTCTGAAAGTAAAAATACCATTTATTTTCTCCATCGACAGTTTTTGTGATCATGAAAACATGAACTGTGAAAGTACATAAAAGAAAGTCACTTGATAGTCTGGATGGTTTTATCTTACTGACACAAACAAATAAAACATCTGGGTCCAAACAATTAAAAAAAGATTCATATAAACAACAAACCCCTTATATATTAAAAGGTAACACAATCAACACAAAATCATCATTCATTATAGAAAACCTACTGGTGCTCAAATGTTACAAGACAACACATAGTGAACATAAAAACATGGGGTGAGAACATGGAGTCACCAAAGTTACTACCTGTGACTCGATATCTAAGAAAAACATAAACTTCAGCTTTAATTGTGTTACATTTTGAGTCTGTGTGTAAATTCAGCAGCCACGGTGCTATCGATCTCAACCTGATGCCCAAGGATGAGATTTAGCACAACACAAAAAGAGAAATGTCCTTTTGACCTGCTGCTGCATATATGTCACAAACTGGGACAGAAAACAAAGTCACAATTGTATTGAACATTTTATCTCAATGTGTGATTTCTGAAAAAAATTCAATAAAATCCCGAACGGGGACACTCAGCACGAGGTCTTTTTTAGCAGACAGGGACAAAAAGAAAGGCACAGTCCAGCACAAACAATCTAATGTTCCTACAATAACAACTAGAACAACATGTTGTTGCAGGTTCTTCTCTCGCTGAAGGGCGGTACGTAACACAATCACACACGCTCCGTCCTCGGTGAGAAAGCTGCTGTAACAGAAACATTTTGTGTTTGCTGTTCAGAGTCTTTCAGTCAATGCTCCTGGAACAGTTCCCCTGTTTCTCTTGTCCTGTTGAATCAGAAGAGTCGGTTTGAAACTGTCGTTGTCGAGGAGGGAAAGAATGATTCCAACCTCACAACAGTGAAGCACTGCTCGCTACTAATGGCGTATTGATTATTACAAACACCAATTACATGTATACCTTGTACTGTAATTACAGCGCCTGGGTAAAAAAAACATCTTATTTATCTATTTTTATAGGATGGATGTGCTCACCCACTGCTCGACATTCAGTACTCTCTCTCTCCGTCTCTGCTCCTTTCTTTCTTCCCTCTATCTTTTATAAGAAAATAACTTCACACAATATTTATTTATTTACAATATTCATTTATTCCTCTATGCTTGAAAGCTGTTGTTTTGTATTGTTTTCTTGCTGTGTGTGTTTGGTATTCATTTTGGGCTTATTCTTCCGTGTGCAGAGAGCCCCTCCTCATCAGATAGGAGACTCCACTTTACCACGCAGTGACCCCAACCTCTCAGCGCCAGACAAAGGTAAAACACTGTTATTTTTGTATCTTACTTCCGCGCAGTGACCCCTCGTATACTCCCAGAAACACTCTGAATGTACTCTCACCTTTCACCACCAGGAGAATCATAATGTCAGCATGTGTAGAGTCAGATTTTCTGAACATAAATATATAAATGAAATGTAAACGTGCATGTAAGGTGTGGGGAGACAATAGTAATGGCTTGTATATAAACTAAATCCAAAAGATATACAAATGATTCAATACAAAATATACAACAGGAAATGTATTTATTGAGTGGACAAGCTTTGCATTTGAAAAAATAAAAAACAGAACAGATGAAATAAATACCATATTTACAGTTTACATAACAGTTTCTAAGAGAGCTCATTATTTTTAAATGTTTTAACAGCAGAGCATCTAAAGTAAACTTTTAAAATTATTACTTTTAATATTTATTCCTTCTGGAACACAATAACAAATTTATACAGCGGTCTGCAAAGGTGATGGGAAATTGATCTAAGTTCCCACACAAGCAGTGTAGATGAGGAGTTAAAGAGGACAGGATGCGTATCTATGGTGACCAGTGTGAGCTAACTTAGCTGTGCTCAATGCTAGGACTGAAAATCAGATCAGCTTGGAAAGAACTGCTCATGGCTTCAAATAACAAAGAAATATGCAAAGAAGCATTAGCTAATTTAATAGTCAGCAAACTTAAGCTGTAAAAGGTCAATTAAAACTGTGAGTGAAAATAAAGGTGTCAATGAGGAAGTGCCTGACTATTTCCAGTCGCCGTAGGGCCGAGTTAAAATGCGTCGCTGCTTTGACTCCAAAATCTTGCATGGTTGCTGCAGCGGTAGCAGACAACTTCTCTATCACTCACTGATGCTAACACCACTGCAGCGTGGTGGTCATCTGTCTGGACATGCAGTGTGAGTGTGTAACGGTTGGACCACAGAGCGACTGGGGGCATCTGTCTTCACACAGCTGCTTCAGGGAGATTGTCAGAACACACACACACACACACACACACACGGAAAAAACGCAAATGCATGCTGGGTTCAATTATACCAGACAATCTCTCTAGATTATAGCATTTCATCCAACCTTGGTGATGAAAAGGCAGGTTCTATATCCCTGCAGTGCTAATGGACATGCGTGACATCCATATGCATGAATCCATTTCCCCCAGGTTGTCTTTTTGCTCAGCTGAGTCAAGAGAAGATCCATACATTTATTTATGTTTTTAAGGAAAAATACGCATCTAAATCAAGAGCAGCTCCCCAGCGTGTAATTAATACAAAAAAAACCTGAGCGGTTTGATTGCTTTTCTCTGAACTTTCGGCAAAACTGAACATGTGCAGTGTCCTCCCCCTCCATCATTGCCGCTCGCAGCCGCAAAAAACAGGAGCAGCCTTCAAAGCACTTTGTGAAGTCATTAAGGAGAAGACGCCTCGGAAGGAGGCGCGAAGTGCGTGGATGCGAAAGCTTCCGTGAGAAACGCGCAGGAACACACACGCCTCCAATGTGATTGGAGAGGGATCTGTGAATAATGCAGCGAGAGATAGATGAAGTGACACAATATGGTGACATCACACCTTTGTGCATATGACAGTGAAAAAAGCTGCAAGAATTTACACCAAACCCGTGACTGTAGAAAAAGCGTGATTCATCTTGAACCTTTAACTCTGGATACCAAATATAGCGTCAGTAAAATATGATGCTAAATTCTGACATAATTTACATTTACCTGGACTCAAAGGATGAACAGATTAGATCTGACAAGTATTCATTTGCTAATTATGACTGAATTCATTTTATTGAATCCCCTCAAAGTTAAAATAGACGTGGGTGTAAACTGCAGCTTAACTTTTTAACAGAGGCTTCTTGATTTAAAGTCTGAACGTCTTAATGTTTGATTAAAAGTGACCTGTAAACTAAAGAACAGAACAAGGACGATCTGAAACAAGAACATTCTATTTAAAAGTACTATTTTAAGTCTTATATGTGATTTAGATAAATCTACTACTCTGCTTTCACAGCGACTCTGCAGGTGTGGCATCGCAGTGAACTTAATTATTTCTCTGCTCTCTGTTTCTTTTCATGCACATTTCTCAATGATGCAAATGAAACTAAAGCCAAATAAAAAGTTACGTCTAAAAAGAAAATCTTTGCTGGAATGCTTCACAGTTTTCAAAGTAATGAGCAACACTGTGTGCTTCTAAATTGTAAAAACTATCCTTCGCTCCTTCTCAAGTGTTTGACCTGTTGCACTAATGAGCACAATCCTGCATTTCGATGTCACGTCTCTTGACAGCGAGTTGTTTCATTAACGGCAAAAATAGAAATTCATGAACTAAATCAATGAAACTGTTTTCTCTGTTTTCTGTTAACATGTGCTCCTAAACAATTTACTGTGGGTTCATGTTTGAGTGACAAAACCCTGTAGAGGCCCCAGTAATTATTACAGCTGCAAAGGAGGATGTCAAAAGTTTATAATTTTTGATTATTTTGATTTTCTTTAGAGTAAGGTTTATTATTAAAAGTTCATACTTCAGTGAGCAACACTGTAAAACAAATGTCTGTTTTATTTTCACCACAAAACTATATCAGGATTGTTTGGGTGTTTCATCATCGATGTCACACATGATCCCACCTCTCCATGTTGTGTTTTGTGATTCCATTTCCTGTCATGTGACTCTTGATGTCTCTGTGTGCTGTGAAGTGAGACCCACACCCAGTAGCTGGAGCCTAGACAGTGTCAAAACGGGCGCTCCAGCCTTCTATGACTCTGTGGGCAAACAGCTCTGCCCTCCTGTCCCTCCTAGGCCTCCGTACTCAGGTAAACCGGCCCGTCGCTGCGACTCCTCCAGCGAAGAACGATACTAATCTTCCTCTCTGACTTTTGACACCTGGTGCTTTCTCCACCTCTTCTTGGCATTTTCCCCCCATCTGAGGCTCTCAGCTGCTGCTTCCTTCGCTTCAGCTCACACACACACACACACACACACACACACGACGCCAGCAGCTTTGAGAAAAAACTGAAATCAATGCCGATTGATATTCCAGTCAATTCCCGGATCCCTATTTTTTCTCCTTTCAATCCCCCTTAGAAATGCATGTCATTATATCTCAACAACAGTTTTATCCATCATCAACTCAAACTGTGTTTTAGTTATTTACTTATTTACAGATGCAACAGATTCCACTTATTCCCCACTGCTATGTGATGTATCACGTTGCCCAGCAGTGTTATAAGCAGATGGAGTGTTTTTCCCCTCCTCCCCTCCTCCCCTCCTCTTTCGTGCCCTCTCTGCGTGGAGCAGTAGCAGCTGCTGGATGTAGAAACAGCTTAAAGCAGCCTTAAGGACCTGCAGAACATCAGCACGTATTTGATTCATTGATGCTTTAAGCGACTGGCCCTCTCATCTCTGTGTGTGTATGTTTGCATGACTCACGCTGTCATCCTTGTGTAAAGAAGAAAATGCTTCGCTAATTTGAATTTGCCCTCTTTTCTTCTTTTCTCTCTCTGTCTCTCTCTCTGACTGTCAGCAGGCTCCTCGGCTAAAAACATGAGGTCGCAGTCGCCCGTCCCCACGTCCCGATCGCCACAAAAGGTTGGTTATGTTTCTGTCACTCACTTCCTCCCTCCCTTTAAGTTTTCAGGTTTTTTTCAGTTTTGTTTTCTCTCCCTCTCATTGAACTGAACAGTGGTTATTACCCATGAGCCCCAGCTTCCTGAAGCTGCCGCTCTAACAAATAAACCAAACTCTATTTATTATTCTTGATATTTTAAAAGTTTCCTGGCTGAATATCAGAGATAAACGCTGGTTTTTCACGACTTTCAAGTCTCTAACTGTTCAACAGCTCAGCATTACTTTGTGGGCCTGATTAAACTGTGACTATCAGTCAGTCCCACACTTCTCACAGGAGATCGTACCCACTCATAAAAGTTACATAGAGCATGAAAAGACATTCACGGCGATTAGTGGGAAATCATTCTCCCTCCTCCAAGTCCAAGTCTTTTACGCCAAAGTTAGCGGGTATACGCAGGTTTTTTTAAACGTGGGCAAACCTGCTCAAAAAAGGCGATTGACTGTTTTCCCATTGCCAGCAAAGGAGTTTGTGTTTTCTGTTTTTCTCCCCAGGAACAACATAAATAGTCACTGAAGTGCTCCCTTACCTTGCTGTATTGCCAAATTAGCACATTCACTCAAGTGTTTGGTTTCCATCAGTGCCGATTGGAGCTGGAGTGAAATCCTGTTTCTGCTGCAGAGTCATTTGAAGAGGGAGTGAATGCTGAATGAATCCATTGCAGGCAAACGCCAGATGTTAGTGGGTGTCAGTTGTTTTTATGACCAGTGGAAAAGGGGCGTCAATAAACAATCAAACTCATTTTGAAGCTGCTATTTTAAGATTAAAAACGTTGCATAGAGCTGCTTTAATTCAAACTGGATGTGATCTGTCCTGCTTGAAAAGAATATGCAAAACCAGATGGATTCATTCAACTCGAATTTCAAAGCGTGAACCCTATTTGTTAATTTTCTTTCCCTCTACTGGTAATGTGATGATTAACTGTCCTCAATGTTCCCTTCCGCATCTCTCAACTCTGATGTGATGTGAGTTTTTAATATCTCTGACCTCAAGGTTTTTTGCTTCTGCTGTTTATCTACAGTTAAGTGATTACTCTCGCTTTGTCTCCAAGCTCTGATTTATTGTTAATGAGGCTCTTAGTAGTTAACACCAGTCTGCAGAAGCAGAGGAGGTCGAGCAGAGGTTAACTAAGCAGTGAGAGACTTTAGTTTAGAAGCTGCTGTGAACCAAAGCTTTTTCTCTTGTTAACTCTTATCTTCTTTGTTGGCTTCGTCACAAGCAGCAGTGCTGAGCTTCCAGCTTTGTTGCAAGTGTGATGTGTCTTCTTACATGTGACAGCTGAAAATGTGTGTGTTTGTGTGTGTGTGTGAGGGAAAGGAAACCGAAGTGTGAGTGACAGCTTGGCACTCAGCACGCTCTGTCAATCAGATTTGTGTGTGTGCATGTGTTTGTGCATGAGTGTGTGGATAGGGGTGTGCCTGTCTCCACATTTGTGTGTTGTGGCATCAGAAGAGGCCTGGAGCGAAGTTTCAAGCTGCCCATCACGGCGCAGCCAGAGACGGGTCCTCCACGGACCTCCAGCAGGCCCCATTATCTGGCACATGCACACACACACACACACACACATCAGTCAGGGGCCCATTACCAGACCACAAACCCCAGGACAGTACTGAACCTGCAGAAAACTCACAGTGCCAACCAGAGGTAGAAATCATATTTAGGTGTAGTTTTAGTCTCTCTGCAGAAAACTTGACCAGGAGTTGATGCAGCTCATCAGCATTGTATTAAATACACTCACCAGGCGAACGCTATGTGAAAACATTACAGTACAACCTTACTGATCAATTGCATACTCCACTAGATCCAATTAAGTCTCCGCAGATATAATAGCAGAATGGTGTAATTGCTTGGAAAAACATTTTTGATGAGTGATTGGATTTTTTGAGGAGGAGAGGGGGGAGGGGGGTGTTAGTGCAGCATATTGCGTTACTTCAACTCAGTGCACAGGGCCAGCAGACGGGGTGGAAAAACCTGCTCCTCTCAATCTGTTCACCGACTCAACTTATTTTTTTTTAGTTTTTATTGTTGTTTTATGGCTGCGTCAGTGTTTTGGATTCAATATGGTCACATGCTTACCACGGAAATGGCCCACAACGTTTTTGAAGGACAAACAACCATATACAATCACAATCTGCAGGAAACCCACACAGATATGGGGAGAACATGCAAACTATAAAAGCATGTTACTACATTTTCAAATTTACAAAAAAGTAATTTCAGATACGTTGAGGTTGAAAAAGTATTTTTCAGCTCACAACCCAACGTCTCAGCAAGAAGGCAAATAAGTGCATTAAGTTTGGTTCCTTCCTGTTTCTTTAAACAGAAGTATATCACTTCCTGTCGTTTCTTCTCCCTTCAGACCATGGTGCCACCTTTCACCCCTTCGCCCACCGAGTGCCAGTCCGCCAGCCTGGTCTCCAACTCCCCTGTCCTCTCCGGCAGCTACAGCAGCGGCATCTCCTCGCTCAGTCGCTGCAGCGTGTCGGAGGCCTCGGGCACGGAGCTGCCCGTAGGGGACCATCCGCCCCACCCGCTGCCTCCGCCCACCACCTTGCCAAACTCCGTCTCCAGCGGCTCCGATGAGCCTATCCGCAGGGAGAACAAGACCCCGCCTCCTTACAGCGTGTACGAGAGGAACAACCCGCGCAGACCTGTGCCACTGCCCCACAGCCTCTCCATCCCCCCGCAGATTGACCCCCCCGCGCTGCCGCCCAAGCCTCACCAGCTCCGCACGGGCAGCATGAAGCTGGAAGGAACCTCGGACCCCCGGGTCCCAAGACCAAGGCCTCTGCCCAGGAAGGTGTCCCAGCTATAGATGCTGGATAAGGCTCCAGGTCTGAGGGGGTTTGTGGAAGGAGGCGAAAGAAACAACACTGGCGTAATTTGCACTTTTCTACTGGGCACACTTGTTTTTTTTTGTGATCTACAG